CAATCTGTACCATGATAAAATGTTATTTTGATTTATAAAACAGATTGTGTAAAATAAATAAAGAATTTTTAAAGACAAATCAGTGGTTTGAAATTAATTTGTGCTTTTCAATATAATGCACTATTTATATAATGTGCAAGGGGTGATCAAAAAGTTCGCGAAAAATGAATAAAATTTAATATATTTCAGTCTGTATGTAATTACATATACATAAAATATTCGTTTTGTCACAAAAGTTGAAAGATTTTCCGAGTTTTATAATTCTTTCCATGCAAGTTAATATTTATAACAAGAAGAGTTCATTTGTCAAAAATGGTCATATCTCGGTAACAGCATGTGTGGATAAGAATATTCTTTCCAAAAATAAACATGGCGATCATCAAAACCCAAATTTTCATTCCAGACATTTAAGGTAGTGCATGATCCATCATATCTATTAATATGTTTAAAATCTAAAGTAAACAATATGTTAGGTACTAGTATTTGATATTTATGTTATTGTGAAAATATTCAACTATTTTTCAAAGTGTAGATTGGAGGTCTTTAACTCTTTACAACTTACTGAACTGTTATGCAACATACACAATAAATGTTCAATAGTAAAATTTACCATTTCCCCGGTTTTAGGGGTACATGTTTCTGTAAAGTTTCCCATAAATAATATTATGAAGCTATATTTTAATACAAAAAATAACTTTTCTTCTTTGATAATATTTTTGCAAGTATAAAATAGAAGGTAATTGGCATTAAATTAAGAATAAAATTAACTTTCTAAAGTGCGTGAAAATGCTTGATTGCGGGGAAACGGTATATGCGTTATTTTGCGTTAGAAATAGGAAATGGTATACAAATAAAAATGAGGTCAAGGGGGTTAATAGCACAATGCTTATTGAAAAACACATCTCTTTTCAAACTTGCTTTCACTGGGCAATATAACAAAATAAGCATTATTTTTAACCGAAGTGATATGTCTTAATAAACTGTGTACAAATTATTATACGCTACTTCAAAGGGATTTCTAAGATATACCATAAATTTTATAGTCGTTTGTTGAACGAGTACGACTGAGACAACCATTGTTCGTCCCAAGTGACCTACATAGTCACTAGTGACGTATTTTCACGTTAGTTGTAAATTATCCAACATAAATTGACAAGTGTAAAATGTAAATTAATGCAAGTTATGTCAAGGACCACGTGTAATGTAGACTTGCTACTTTCGTGATATGTAAATTAAGCAAGGTTGCATATTAAGACGAAAGAGGGCGCTATAGGGGTGGAAAGTCATTTCGCCTAAAAGATTAAAATGTACCAAAAGTTTTGTGATATCACTTTTTAAAACGGTTCATATTTACAAGTAAGATTTAAGTTTAATAGATAAAAAATATTTACAAAAACAATGTATGAATTACAAAAATATATCTCTTATAAAAATTATGAAAAAGAATCTTTTGATGAAAGCTATACTGATAATTTTCAATCATCTCTCTCTCTTTCTCTGACCCCTTCTCTCTCTCTCTCTGCAGTTCTCTCTCTCTCTCAATGTTTTCTTTTTGTAAAAAAAAGTTTTCAAAAAGCAATAAATTATAAAAAAAAAAAAAAGAACTACAGAGTTGGAATTTTGAACCCGTTGGCTTTCCATTTATTCCAACCAGTGTACAAAATAAAACATTTTCTGAGATTTTATTTATTTTTAAAGACAAATCAGTGGTTTGAAATTAATTTGTGCTTGCAATATAATGTAAAAAAAAAAAAAGCTTAATCATACAAAAAAAAAAACATAAAATTTAATATATTATCTGTATGTAATTACAAACATAAAATATTTTACATAACATGAAATGAAACTTTTTAACAAGACAATTTAACATGAAATGTGCAGAAAAATATGAACATTGGGTCCACAACAAGAAGCTTATGGCCTAAACAGTCACCCAAACATAATACATTCCACACAGGCAGTGCATGATCCATAGAATAACTAGTACATTAAATACACAGTAGTTTATTGTTATGATGCAATGATAGGAAGATAAATGATCTGAACATTATTCTGGATAATGTAAAATTTTGGTAGGGCTGTGGGGTATGATTAAAAATAATAGAAATTGATGTCAATAAGAGTTATCTATCTAATCAGAGTATTGATTAAACTTAAGATTCAGCAAAATACAAATAAAAATAAGGTCAGGGTCACAGGTAAGTAAAAGGTCAAAAGTTTTTGATTCAGTTGAATGCCTATCATCAGTACTCAGAATCTATGAAATTTGATAAAAATATCTTTGCAACTGAGCTTTGAAATGAGCTTAACGCAAAGCACGATGAAAAGTTTTTGACCGACACATATAAACAGATGACAACTTACAACAAGAGCAGCCCGAGTGACTCGGGTGACCAAAGAATGGATGTTTTGATTACATTTCACAAAATGTTGAATATCTCATACCAAGTGACTAAAGTACAAAATCAAAATCACATTTTTTCATAATTAAAATAGATATGAATTCAAATATATGTAGTTGCATACCAAAATGAAAATCTCCCCTAGATAATGGTTAAAAAATCAAATGCATACTATAATTTCAATGCATCAGAATGTAATTCTACACAAACCAAGTACCAGTAAATACATGTACACTTTCTTTAAAAAATAACAAGATTTAAATTCAGTGAATTTATGTCCCGTTTTTAACATGATAGCCTGTCAAAGATTTTCAAAACAGCAGGTGGAGATAGCATGATAAATGAATTTACTCATTATTTTTGCAGTAGCCATGAAAAACGGTATTTCAATATAAGACTAGTGAAAAGCAAGTGTAGTAATGCACAAGATGAAATTGTCACAGGATTGTAGTCCATTGTACCATCCTTTTAAAAGTATAGACATAAAAATGTAATTATATGGTGGAGGCTAGTACTAGTGCTTTACCACTTTGACAAAATTTATAATGCATTCATGAGTTTGTGACATTGACTTAAATCTTTTAGCATCAGAATAAAAAGATTTCATACAATAACTAAATTTCTCACCTTGATCTCTGGATTTCTGACCCCCCCCCTTTAAAAAACATAGGTAATCAAAGATTACGAAGCTCACCTCGACGAATGTTATCAGTGTAAGTAATGCAAATCTCACATCATATTTTCTTAATATCTAGCATTTATCCCAACAACAATATTCTTGCAAGTTGTGTTTAACCCCTTACTAACATATACACTTTTCTATATATGTTGTGTTTAACCCCTTACTAACATATACACTTTTCTATATATATATACTTTTCTATATATATGCATGTAGCGTGAAAAACATGTATAGTGTAAACAAATATTCATAAATTCGTTATTACTGCAGATATCAAATGCTTTAAGTTCATTGGGATTAATCTGTTCCCAAAACTTTAACCTGGTCTCTTGTATGGAAAATATAGGTCAGATTCAGCATCCAAAGCAAGTCTGATAGTGTCCATTCCTAGATGCATCATCCATGCAAGATTGGTTCAGGTAGGGCATATAGTTACTTGGTAATGAAAATGTAGGTCAGATCCAGCATCCGAAGCAAGTCTTGTAGTGTCCATCCCTAGATGCATCATCCATGCAAGTTTGGTTAGGGTAGGTATTTTAGTTACTTGGGAATCAAAATGTAGGTCAGATCCAGCATCCGAAGCAAGTCTGGTAGTGTCCATCCCTAGATGCATCATTCATGCAAGTTTGGTCTGGGTAGGGCTTATAGTTCCTTGAGAATGGACCTGCTCCTAAAACTTTAACCTGGTCACTCATCTAGAAAATATAGGTCAGATCCAGCATCCGAAGCAAGTCTGGTAGTGTTCATCCCTAGATGCATCATCCATGCAAGTTTGGTCCAGGTAGGGCTTATAGTTACTTAGGAATGGACTTGCTCCAAAAACTTTAACCGGGACACCGACGCTAGAACCGACACCCATGCTGACGCTGGGGGTATAGCATAAGCTTATCTCGACTTCATCGAGGTAAGCTAAAAATCAATAGGGGGCTACATTGAGTAAAAAAGAGTAATAAGAAGTCATCTAGTGCACTTTCATTTTAAACTATCAAGGGCTTTTAAAGATTTTTAGAAATTACAGTATTATAGACAAAATGATGGACAAATTGAAAGAAACCTGAATTAAAATCTTTACAGGCTTACATAGTACATATTAAGAATTATGCTAACTGGCAGTCAAAAACAGAACTCAAAAACTTGATAAGAATAACTAAGCAATTTGACCCATAATGTACAAAGATATGAAAAATAACCAATAAACTATGTGGATTTTTCATTCAAAGATTGCTGAAATAATTTTAAATTTATAGTTGTGAAACTTGAACAAGGAATACTGAAAACAAGTACAGGAAATTAAGGACTGTAAACATTACATGCAAAACCTCATAAAGTTTTGATATGACATGAAAACAAAGAGAAATTCGGATACCATGTAATAAAAAAAATATGATAAATTGTCAAAGTCTGCAAAACTACATGGTCTGCGACTCAAAAGTACATATATATGTCTAAAATCAACATTACATGTTACAAAATTATGGTTTATGTCATACATGTAACATCAGCATAATAGGGGTATATGAGGCTATGAAGAATACCATGTCGAACATGCTATACCGTGAAGAATACCATGTCAATGGCTATTGATCTTAAACTGAAAACGAGGCTACCTAGCTAAATATAGCATAGTTCATGTAAAAATGAGACACTGAAAGGGAATTTAATTTATATCATAATTAATAATAATAATAATAATAAAAATTTAACATATTTTTCAATTTAGTGGTCATACCTTTTAAAATATGATTTTTTTTTACTTAAAAGCCTTGTTGACATAGCCTAACAATGAATGCTGAACTCTTCACTTGACACTCAAATTTTGGTTTAGCATCAGTAATACATGCATGTAAAGTACCTCTGAACATAAAGCATATACCCACTTGTTAACACTGAAAATGGAAAAAAAAACAAATTTGGAAAAATTTTTACAACAATCTCAACATTACTAAAAATGGGTTGGTTTTATTTCAGTACATTGTATATTATTATCAATTCTTGAACCTTGACAAAATGTCTCTGGTTGAAAAATGTAATCAAACTGTAATCACATTTATACATTTGTTTAAAGAACCCTTCAGACTGTCTGAACTTTTTATTTTTTGACTTACTGACCATATAGTAGATGATATTTCTACAAATTTGGAGACAAATTTAAAACAAGAGGCCCATGAACCAGACAAAAACTGTTTTTGCAAGGTAATAATTAATGAATGCCTTGCAATAAAAATTGGTAAAAAATGACCGCAAACCATAATAAGAATTTAAGAATGCGTAATCATACAAAGCAAACAGCTCTTTATCTTCTGGAAGATTTGTATCAATGCTTGGCTTTGGTCGTGGCAGTTGGAGAGAGTTGATACATGTGTTTGCTGTTGGAATAAATGAATTAATTACTTCTGGAAACTGAATAGTAGGTGGTATTTGAAACCCTAAAACTGGCTCTTCTTCAGCTCCAGTTACAAATTGTAAAATGTTCCCTATGGATAAGTGTTCTCTTCGACCACCTGCAAAAAAATTATATAACATTGGGATTTATCATACTTGTACATGTATATTGTTGCCCATAGAAAAATTAAAATCAAATTTATCCTTTTCACTTCACAGAATTTGTTTCTTATAAAAGCATGAAAATTCAAAACACATTCATTATTCTCCGTTTGTGCAGTCTGTTCATTTGCAATTCCCCCTGTGGTTTATTAAAGTTATCTATGTAATTTATGTTATAGATATGCCCCAAGATGCACCAACTGAAACAAGAGGCCCATGGACCACATCGCTCATCTGAGCACAATTAGGCCAATTTAGTATTATATGAGTGGTATCAACCTATCCCTAAAGGGAGGGGGCATGAACTGAACAAACTTAAATCTACACTACCTGTGGATGCTTACATATAACTAGAAACTATAATTATGAAATTTGTTCAGATTTTCTTGAATAGTGATGCAGCTGAAATGCTTAGCAGCTTACATAAGTATGTATCAGTATATGAAGTTTGACACTAATTTATGTCATTTTAGGAAAAGTGAGTTCAAGGTCAAGGTAAAATGTTGAAATAGTTGAATAGCTCTCATCAGTATGTATCAACATATGAAGTTTGGTAAAAATATCTTAAATGATTTCTTTAAAACTGAGCTAAACACTACTTTATGACAAGAGGCCTATGGGCCACATCACTCACATGAGAAGCTTTGCATGACCATGCTAGCACTATTCTTAACCAGATTTTTTCCCTTGTGACCTACTGTGACCCATTGTACCCCGCAGATCATAATTTGGACAATTTAAAATCTACACTATCCCAGAATGCTTCCACATAAATTTCAGCTATTCTGGCCCAGTGGTTCTTGAGAAGATTTTCAAAGATTTTTCCTATATATATATATATATCTCTATGTTACACTTTTATTCCCTATTGTGGCCCCGTCCAACACCGGGGGGTCATGATTTGAACAATTCAGAATCTACACTACCCCAGGATGCTTCCACATAAGTTTCAGCTTTTCTGGCCCAGTGGTTCTTGAGAAGAAGATTTTTTAAAACATGCCACCAAATTTTCATAAATTCCCAATTATCTCCCTTTGAATGAGGGTGTGGCCCTTCATTTGTATAAACGTGAATCCCCTTCACTCAAGAATGCTTTGTGGCAAGTTTGGTTGAAATTGGCCTAGTGGTTCTTGAGAAGAAGTCGAAAATGTGAAAAGTTTACAGACAGACAGACGCAGGACAAAGTGTAATCAGAAAAGCTCACCCGAGCCTTTTGAAAAATAAAATCCACCTGTCTCAAGCATGATTTTGCAAGTATGGATAAGAAACTAAATAAATATGATTTTTTTGTGTGTCTAGCAATTTCTGTATTTCTAATTTAATAAATTTTATGGACTTTAAATCTTACTTGCAACTTCTCTTAAATAACGGACAAATGCAGCATAAACTTTCTTCTCCACTTCAATGTTGTTGCTGCCCTCTAATGAAAACTCAGGTTTCAAAAGTGTTGTAAGCATCCTGAATGTCAATGATGTAGAATGTTTTTGGAAAAGGTAAAGAAAACTTGGAAGCTGCACACCAATCTGGAAAAAATAAACAACAGATTAAAGGTGTAAAAAACATACAACTTCACTTTTTAAAGTTTGTTTTACTGTCCTCCTTTTAGGGATTTTTAGGGATTTACTATTATAACCAATTTTGTACAGAATTATGTTATTAACATTTTTCTCAAATGACAAGAAATGTTTTAGAAACATCTATGCCCCTATGAGGCAATATTGGGTCAACTTTTTTTATACAGCACTGAGCATTGTGTACTATATGAGGATAAAAACATTGGCAATTTTGACCTTTTCAACTATTTGAGACTCAGAGCTTAGAATTATCAATAATATCTTGCTTGTGCATTCATTTTCTTGTAATATTTTTTTTTCCTATAGTGCCACATTCTATGCATTTACCTAATTAAATATCAAAACATTGACCGTTTCTACGATATATGTTATGTGATATGTCCTTTCTGTCATGTCTAGTCTTAAAGATGATTGAAACTAAATAATTACCGGTACATTACCGTACATGAAAATTAGAACTGTAAAACATTCTTATAAACTAGAAATCATGTACATGTATTACAGGAACTAATTTTATTTTAATAAGAATATTAATTAGTCATATGGAATAAAAGTTTGCTTCTGCTGGATTCATAAAAAAAAAAAATTACTGTATACAATCCCAATGTCTCAAGTCCTTTTCTCAAACTTGTGATGCATGGATGGTCCGTGGAATCAGAAAATACCTTCTGGATTATCTCTGGCTCTAGGAAAGTTGGAATTTGGCCATTTTGTAGAATACTTAAAGCTGAAATACAGCAAAAAAAAATTCCATCAACCTGCATTTTAACTTCAAAGTCTACATATACATCCTGCATCATAATACTAGTACATAAAACATATAATTATGACACTTGTACAGCTACAAGCATAAAGATTTCCCTCTAGTTTGTCACATTAATATTACCACTCTTCCTATTGGGAATCAATTATTTGAATTCATTCTGTTCTTGGTTTTTTTTTTCTTAATTTTAAGAATTGTCCAGAGTAAATGATCTCTCCAGTGCAAAGCTCTTTTGTTAAACCAGATGTGTTGACACAAATGCCCCTGCAGGCAGACAGAATTTCAAATGCCATATTTTTAAATTTGTATGAAAGTTAAAAAGGATTATAAACTGTTAAAAATCATCAGACCATGACAAAATTTGAACTTGACCTGCAAATTCCTATTCATATGTTACATTAAGTTTAATGTGTGCAACTGTTGCCATGGGGGGGCATAAAAAATAAATTAGGATGCGAATTTAATTTAAATTACATGTACATATTTCAAAGTATGATATATATGGACAATATATGGTACATTTAATTACAGTGAAGAGTATTGATTGTGTATTGTTTAATGTCCCTCTCGAGAATTTTTCACTCATATGGAGACGCCACCATTTGCCGGTGCTGAGCTGCAAATTTTGTCCTATACTCGGCACTTGGGGCCATTGAGCAGGGGGGGACCTTTTTCGTGCCAGCACCTACTGCTACACGGGACTTCGTTTTATACAGTCTCATCCAAAGGACCGCTCTCTACATCCCGCAGTGGGATTCAAACCTTCAACGTAAAGATTGACTCCTTTCTTTGCAACTCTAGAGCAGATGATCTAACCACTGTGCCATGCGGTCATGGAAGTATGAACTATTTGGCTGATAGTAAATTGCCTGACACAGCTCTTTGCTTAAGAGCAACTAAAATTGACTAAAATTCTTCATAAAAAAGTACCAAGTATTGAAGTATGCAAAGATGATGATTACAAGGTATACCGAGAGTCAAATTTAATAATTAATACAAACCAAAGGTCTTTCCGATAACTTCGTAATCTTCACAGATTAATTCTCGGAGTCCCTTATCAAAATATTTTTCTTTAATTGACTTTAACATTAAACGAAAGAACTCTTTCCGGGGTCCACCATAGTCTACAGCCGTCTGAAACAAACAGTAACACAAGTTACACAAGTAACACTGTATTTCATTACATAATAAAAAACAAGAGGCCCAGGGGCCACATCGCTCACCTGAGCACATCAGCTATGAAAAAGCACATTATTCAGATCAGAACTGAAAAGTTCACTGAAGGGGTGGGGGGGGGGGGTCATGAGAGGGCTTGAATTCTAATATTACTTGAAAATGCATCCGTATCAATACTGCATATAAATTCTTGAGAAAAAGATTTTTAAAGATTGATCGGCCATTGTGGCCCCACCCTACCTATCTGAGGATGATCCAAAATGAGTTTCATCTTTCCTGTCCCTATTGTTCTTGAGAAGATTTTAAAAGATTTTTCCTATATATTCTATGTAAAACTTTGATTGGCCATAATTGTAACCCCATCCTAACCCCTGGCCCAGGGGTCATGATTTGAACAAACTTGAATCTACACTACCTGAGGATGATTCAACAGAACATTTAAATGAGAAGAGTACTAGTCTGCTAAGTTAAAAATATCATTTAAAATGTAACATCTTCGGATTAAATCCTCTCAAAAATTGATTAGACTGATTCAGCGATTGTTTAGCAATTAAGGTACTAAGTATTCCAGCAGGATTTTTTGCTTATCTACCCTTATAAATTCTACAATGATCGATCTTGCATTGTATTCAATATCACCTGTGAAAGAGTTCCGCTAAGTTAAGTAATTGTGATATCAAGTATTCATTGTTACAGTAAGCATGCTTTACCTCATCCAGCTGACACCTGAACTGGGAGCATCAATTCACCTGTCTTGTATCAAATGTATCAAGACTTCTGAGCAGAGGCTTAGAATGTTCTGTTCTACTTAAATGCACAATATATACTCCTGTAGTGGTTACCAATGAGGTTGGTCTCTAAAGCAGTGAGCTTCAATTACTCTAAAATCTTGTAATTAATTTTGCTGGAACCCAGTTACTCCAGTCCATGAATTAACTAGAGGTACTGTGAGCAATGAGCTCATTATTGATACCCCCGCCTCCCATATGGTTATAACTGATGACAAAGTCCACGTTTTGCTGTGGCTGGGAAACCCAAAATATGTCGGATCAAAAAGTAAAACAGGAGGTCACAATGGCAATATGTAATAAAGATTCTGTGAAAGAATGAGTGCACTTAAATACGTCATTTGGAACCTTTTCGGCTACCCATTTTAAGCTTAACATTACAATATATCGCAAAATTAATCTATGATTAATGTGCAAGCATATGCTAATGATATTTATTTCTAGAATTTTTTGTCATACATATTTCTATAATTACAGAAAATGTAATTGAAAAGAACATGTAAAAGCCTTAAATTCCGGAAATTTGAACGGGACCACTTTCGAATCTAAGGTATCTGCAAGTAGGCGGAGACATTTAAACCGCATGGTTGTGGAATGTAAACATTAGCACATATGATATTTCGCATTGCGAATTGAAATGGAAAAGAGAGAGATCGTGTTGATTTCATGGTGCACAATTATTAAATGATTCTAATGTTAAGGGATGGGGTAAATGTCTCGCTGTGCAGACCATAATACAGAGGCGACATAAGCCTAAACATTTACTTACTAATGACACTGTCAATGCCAGAATTCTTTCTAAACACCCCCAATGAAAAGCAAAAAAGATAAATAAGAGACATATTATCTTCAAACCCTATTAAAATTTGCGCAAAAATCTCCTATAGTTTTAAGTTGGAAGTACGATAGATAATGTCACAACAGAGACTTAAACACAATGAAATTTTCAATGAAAGCATTAGCGTATCGAACAGCAGAAGGTCACGTGAGAAAGGTGATTATAATATCAATCGTTGTTGCTCAGTGCCCTTACCAAAATATTGACCTTCTGGCAACATCTTCTGGCTTTATTGCCGCAATATTGCAGCAACATTCTGGCAATACATTGCCGCAATATTGCGGCTATATCGTTTTTCGTATGTAAATTAGTTTTGCGGCAATATTGCCAGAAAGGGGTTGCGGCAATATTGCTGCAAATCATGACCCAAATATTGATCTTCTGGCAACATCTTCCGGCAATATTGCCGCAATATTGCGGCTATATCATTTTTTGTATGTTAATTAGTTTTGCGGCAATATTGCCAGAAAGGGGTTGCGGCAATATTGCTGCAAATCATGACCAAAATATTGATCTTCTGGCAACATCTTCCGGCATTATTGCCGCAATATTGCGGCAATATCGTTTTTTGTATGTAAGTTAGATATAAATTGGTATTTAATAGAAATAATGATCTATCAATCTAACAATTAACAAACAGTGCTGAGGAATATAACAAACAATAGCAAGCCACAGGGTCAATAAGAAATAGCTTCTTCTGCTATTTTTTGAACAGATAGAAAATTAATTTGATTAACTTGATATAATGAAAATCAAGATATGTTTTGTGAAACACTTTGCGCCTGGTGGCAATAAAGTTTGAAAAGCTATTTATAGCATATGGTTTACAGTCAAGGTCACAAGGTCATGATCTTGGTGTCAATTGAAAGAACTTAATTAGTGGAGTATGCATACTAAATATGAAGTCTCTATCTCTTATAGTTAAAAATTTATGGCAGAGGATCAAAACGGCTATTTTTAGCATATGGGTCACAGTAAAGGTCAAATTGTCATTGACCTTGGTGTTCCTTGAAAGAGTTTAATTAGTGAAGGGTGCATACCAAATATGAATTCTCCATCTTTTATGACTCAAAAGTTATGTCTAAGTTTCAAAAAATCTATTTTAAGTATATGGTCACAGTCAAGGTCCCAAGGTCATTGACTTTGGTGATATTTGAAAGAGGTTAATTAATGAAGGGTGCATACATAATACAAGTTCTCTATCTTTTATGGCTCAAGATTTATGTCCCAAGATTCAAAAAATCTATTTTAAGGATATGGGTCACAGCCAAGGTCTCAAATTCATTGACCTTCAGGTGTCTTGAAAAAGCCTAATTAGTGAATTATGCATACTAAATATAAAGTCTCTATCTTTCATTAATTTTAAGTTATGATGAATATTCGAAAAAGCTATTTTTAGCATATAGGTCACAGTCAAGGTCAAAAGGTCATTGACCTTGATGTCATTTGAAAGAACTTAATTAGTGGAGTAGACATACCAAATATGAAATCTTTATCTCTCATTGGTTCAAAAGTAATGGTGAAGGTTAAAGTTTACAAACAAACAGACAGGACAAAAACAATATGCACCCCCGATCTATCAAGACAGGCGCATAAAAAATGTTTATAGAAACAATATTAATATGCCACTGTGAAAATGTCTAGCAACTCTGCATTAATTTTCAAATAACATGCTTTAATTCATCTTTTCCTGCTACTCTAGTATGCATGCATCACAAGCACTAATTGAAACACATATAATTTTTCAATTTTATCTCCATTGAATCATTCATCTCAAAAAGAATATTGGTTTTGACTCACCAAGTCTGATGATATGGAAACAGCAAGAGTACACATTCCTATAATTCTGCTTAAATTCTTTTTTCTAGTCATTCCACTCTATGCAGTCTTACTACTCATCTTGACTAATCCCACTGTACACAATTAACAACTCTAATCAACTTGATACAAGTCAGTAATGAAGCAAAACATGCTTGCCTTTGAATTCCCTCCACTTTATTTAAAAAGAGGAAGTAAATGACTGAGCATGCTCAACAAATGGCTCATGGGTAATCCTAGATGTTGCCAGAAAGTTTTTTTCTGGCAGTATTGCCAGAATGTCACCGGAAGTTGTTGCAGCTAGCGGTGATATTTCATTTTTTCTGGCAGTATTGCCAGAATGTCACCAAAAGTTGTTGCCGCTAGCGGTGATATTTCACTAACCCAAAAAGCTTGTTTCTGGTGACAAAAATGTGTTGCCGCAATGTTGCCGCAATATAGCAGCAATATTGCTGCAATAATTTTGCTTTGGTAAGGGTGACCGGTTGATTTAGTGGCTATTTCGACCCTAGTTTGGGGACATTTTTTTGAAAATTAGATATGAGCCGCAACTTGGCCAATATTGTCCTTTGGATATGTATAAGTTTAAGTTAAAATACATATTCTGTGCAAATAAGAAAAATGGCCAAGTTGCGGCTCGATGTAAACAAAGTCGTTGAAAACTGGTATGCATATGAATAACAATAGAAATGAGACAAAACTGTAAGACCCCCGTCTCAAAAGCTAGTGTCGTTCGGCATTATTTAATACTTTTATGTAATATAATATACCAAAACCTGCTCTAAAGACATTGTTTAATACCTATAAAACATAAATTTAATAAATTTTGTAATTTTATTTTGCGCAAAACATCGGGATCCAACTCTCATAGCTTAAGTGCACTCATTCTTTGCATCAAATTTCATTCAGTGGAATAAGAGGAGTTGTGGATAAAAGACGGGTACCCCGAAGCGTAACAGACGGACAGACATACCAATTACTATAAACGGTAATACTCTCCCACTTTTCAAGCAGGGGGTATAATAATTATATTCAGATAAACAATTTCTTCTTGCCTAAGGTGACTTTACGTTAAGTGTTCAATTCAACAGGAGAAAATTTACTCATATGTGAAAGTTGAGTGTAACTGTGTCTATAGTCTAGCCAAAAATGCAAATTTAGCACTAAGAATAAAAATACCTTTATGCCCCCCCCCCCCTCTCCCCGGACTACACCAAATACATCTTAACTATATTGAGGTCAGCAATAAATAAATTATATGTTTGATGTACTCCGGCTGACCTATCAAAATTGCCCCAGTTTTAAATCATTTTTTTTCAGGGTTTTTTTTCTTGGGGGGGGGGGGAGTTAAGGGAAACAGAGATTGTTTTAATTTAAAGAAGTTTTGTAATTTAAACATTCATTTTTTTTTATAAGTATATATATATATATATATATATATATATATATATATATATATATATATATTATAACTGTCTTATCCAGTATATCATGAAACATCAATAAATTTGAAGTTTTATGACAATTTTCTCATTTTTTGATACTACAAAAAAAACCTTCCTACCTACCCACCTTGAGAAATATTAATGTGGGTTGGAGTACATCAAACAAAAGTATTTTTAATGATTGCCTAGCGCATTTAACAACACAATACACAACTATTAGTGCATTACCAACCTCATCATAAAATTGTACTTCTAGAGTTTTTCGGACATCACTGATTGCTTTGATTTCATCAAAACCAGTCTCCAAAAGATGTGTTCTGTCAATTAAAATAAAGTTTGTATCACCCTCAGAATTCTGTGTTATATCAATCACTTCCAAAGGCCTTCCTGTGACCATTTCTTTCTGTACTTTGCGTAAAATTTCTACCGGATCTGCGATATTTTGTACTTTACAAAACTCAATAATTCTGCTGGTCACATCTGAAACTGTTTCAACATTTTGCACAGACTCAGGCAAAACTTCAGTCACAGCGAGGTCACTGATGTGGTTACTTTCTACAGTGTTTTCTAAAAACAATTCCTGGTCTTCAAAAATAACAACTTCCTCAACATGCATTTCCTGAGAGCTTGATATGCTAGATCTAGTCTGCATGGTTTGTGGAAGTATGTTAATATTCAAAATGTCTGTTGTTTGCACATCATTTTCTGTGTCAGCTTCCGAACATGTTTCTGTGTGGTTCCTCAGTTCTCGTAGCAAGAATTTCCTTCCACATGTTACACATTTCTCTTCTAAACTTGATTCACTAGACTTCTCATGAGGATTATCTATAGAAGCAGTGGAAAGATCTTTTTGGATTGGCCTTATATATATTGTTGATTGAGGATTAACATTTTTCTGCAGTTCTTTTGCTGACCATGCGCAGTTTATCAAAGTTAACTCTCTGTAATTTTGGGCACTTCTCAGTAGTTCAAAGCCACCCCCCTCAGCTAATTTTGGAAATCCTACAATTTCCTCTTCTTCATTTAATTCTTGCGAAATAAGTTTTGCTGCTAATTCATTTTCATCATCCGATTTTTTTAAAACAATTTTTTTTCTTACCAAGTCCAGCTTTATTCAGAGCTTCTTTTTCCAGTGCATTTGGAACACATTTTTGGCCTGTATGGGCCAGACATAAAAAATTCATGGTTATGAACTTGTCTTTTCGGCGCATCTTTTTCCCACCTGCAGTGCGATGGTACGGTGTGAATAATCGGGCTCGTTCCTTACTTATAGATATAGCGGTATGTTCGGTGACCGATGTTTTCCCATGCACAAGTTTTTTTAACTTGTGGCGTAATCCGATCGTTTCAACGCCAAGTCTTTTCAGTTCTTCATCTGAGAGTATCTCTATCATCTCAATTGAGATATTTTCTCTTTCAAAATTGGGATAGGCGCTCGGTATCCCTAGCTCCATCAGACATTCCCTCAGGGCATTCATCTTGCTTTTAGAACCGTTTAGGCGCGACAATTTCCGAATGAACACATTCGGAACTCAACATAATATAAAACTTCGTCATAACGATACGCTGTACTGACTTAACGTTTTCATACTGTAACTTTTGGACAGCATGCCATATTTTAATGACTTCATAATATGTATTTTGAAAATATCGCGGTTTAATTTGACTGTATATTATGTAGATCAGACTAAGTAATACATTGTTTTGACATCATTTTTGTGCCTTTTCACTACATATTGTATGAGTAGTACTACATATAATATCAAGTGAACGTAATGATATAAAGAATAGACTGCATGCTATATAAATTGGACTTAATGATACACAGAACGGACAGCATGTTATATTAATTGGACTTAATGATATAAAGAGTGAACTACATGTTATATCAATTGGACTTAATGATATAAAGATTGAACTACGTGTTACATATATTGGACTTAATGATATAAAGAATGAACTACGTGTTATATCAATTGGACTTAATGATATAAAGAATAGACTACATGTTATATAAATTGGACTTAATGATATAAAGATTGAACTACATGTTATATAAATTGGACTTGATGATATAAAGAATAGACTACATGTTATATCAATTGGACTTAATGATATAAAGAATGAACTACATTTTATATAAATTGGACTTAATGATATAAAGATAGACTACATGTTATATCAATTGGACTTAATGATATAAAGAATGAACTACATGTTATATAAATTGGACTTAATGATATAAAGAATGAACTACGTGTTATATCAATTGGACTTAATGATATAAAGATTGAACTACATGTTATATAAATTGGACTTAATGATATAAAGAATAGACTACATGTTATATAAATTGGACATAATGATATACAGAACGGACAGCATGTTATATCAATTGGACTTAATGATATAAAGAATGAACTACATGTTATATCAATTGGACTTAATGATATAAAGATTTGACACTATGATATATATTTTGTACCCATAAGACAGTTGTGGCGTTCCATATTAAATTGTTCGAATCATTCGATTGTCAATACTGGGCGCGCTTGAATTGTCTACACCTTACTACACCCGGTGTAGACGATTTACACCTCATAAGTGAAATTGGGTGTAGTGTGGCAAATTCAACATGGACGTCAAAATTTCAACAAACTGAGGGGGCCTATTTGCAGACGAATTTTTAATAAAATATTTCTTGCGATTGTGAACATGGTGAACATTCTTTTAAAATCCCTTTAAACACAAAACATTTTACAAAATGCAAAAAATTTTTTATTAAACATTATCCTAGCTGCCCATATTTACCCCTATAACTAAATATCTAGCCATAGTCAAATATATCTAGAGACTTTATCACCCAAACTTGCAAAATTCACTTATTTTTTTTATTTTACAAATTATGAAGTTTTTCATTTTTCCATAAAATGCACAAACCGTGGTCCACTATATTACTAAAAACAATTCATCACAATGAACCTATCAAATACTTGACAGTAAATTCAAATACAGAAAGAGAAATTCTGCAGTTTTACCATCTCGTCATTTGTCAGCCATATTGAATTTTTCGGTGTAATTACCTACACATGCCCTGCACAGGGTGTAGAAGGTGTACACCAAAAGTGTACACTTTTGCACTTGATTATGAAAAAGTGTACACCGGGTGTAAGGTGTAGACAAATCAAGCGCGCCCGCCGTAAACAGGTTACAGGATACTAATTTTACACTCAGGATGGCCACCTGGACAATCCACTTCCATTCCCTTGCCCCTTAGCCATGCACCTGTCCAGCAGAGTTTATTTTGCAGAGCACAGGCAAGTATGTATTTTCTATCAGCGTTAGTTTCAACGACCAATGAGAAGGCTTGACTGGCATTCTGTCCGGGAGTCTTACGGCTGAACATGATGTTACTGTTGTAACGGGCATCTGTTGAGATGTTGATGACATCCTCTGGATGGCCTCGGGTCCTGTTGATCTGTTTTACTTTCTGTATCTTCTGATGCATATCTTCTTTGTTCAGCTTTATAATATTTTTACTTATTTTGAACAGGAGCTTCTGGAGAGAGGCCTTAGTGGGAGGTGGGATGTCCATGCAGCTAAGGAATTCTATAACCTTCTCAGCTCCTAGTGAAGTGTCCTGAAGGGTATATGCCAGGGCCATGTTTGATGCCGATGCTTTGCGTCCAGGACCCCCTTGATGAATTTCTTGGAATAGGGCAAACTCGGGTGAGTTGAACTGGCAATTAACACAAGTCAGTGAGTATTTCCAGGAAATTCCTAATTTTTTTGAGTACTGCACAGTAATGTTCGGTGCGGTACAAGTGGTAGACTGGTGAAGTTGTATGGTTTGATTAATCATCTCCATCATCTTCTCTTGGTCCACTATAGGTCGACCGCCTAAGTATTCGCTACTCTTTGGTATTTGTTTTTTGCAGTTTGATGGACGTGGCCGCAGAATGCAGGTTGATCCGCTCTCACCGTCGCAGTCCGGAGTTTGGTATGAATGGCTGTCGAGACTTGGTTTGGTGACCAGGGCATGATCTGTTGAATTCAGCCTGACAATTGATCTTCGACCAGAATTTGGCTGTTTTTCCGTCTTGAAGCCGTGGCTATTTCCTTGATGAAATCCTCCTTGCCTTGGGAGCTTCCTCTTGCAGAGTTGCTTCCCTTTGTTCCAGGGAACCATATTTTTCTTAAACATGATGGTGAGTAGAATACTACTTATTCTTGCAGATTCAGGCAACAATGCCTTGGTTTTTCTTATTTCAACCATATTTATAGTGCTTAATGTTTGATTATTCTTAGGATGGCATCTTGTATATATCCATGACATTTTTAATGTGACCAGGGATAATCCAGCATGACCTGTAAGTGCCACTTCCTGATATTGGCTGCTGTGGTCATGTTTGCTTATCTGCTCACAACAAAGGGATTAATCTCTTTTTATTATCTTTTACTGTTGTTTTTTTATAGCCAATATAATGTAGAATTTTTTCATAATTTTTATTTTGTAAATTTTTATTGATTAATATTTTATATAGGGCAGTTTTCAAGAAATTTCACCATATTTGGGGGTATTTTTTCAAAAAAATCGTAAGAATATTTATCTGCATAATTGATCAAAGTTGTTATCAGAATTAAGTAGAGGAAATATTAAAATTATAGAAAAAAATAATTGGTAAGAAATTTATTGTAACATATGTGATATGTGAGTATTTCAAATTTGTGCATTGTGTGTCTGATGCTCATTTCATCCTCTGTTTTCAGGAGATCAAGTCATCACTGAAAAGGGCCATAACTCTGCTGTTCAGATGACAAATCCAATGAGACTTCAGAGGGGTGTGTAGTATGGTTTTAGAAGATTCTGTGCCAATTTTCATCAAAATCAAAGAAGGTTAGTGTCTTTATTAGGTTACAGGATACTAATTTTACCCCTATTTTATTGACCACGCAAAGAGTTCCAGATTAAAAATAGAGGTTCTTAAAAAATCTTGGGGGTGTATATGGGGTGGAATGGGGTTATTTTAGGGCATAGATGGAAAAGAGAGGGTCTGAAAAAAATTATAAAATTAAGAATAATGGGAATTTTGCTGTTAAGTGTGTAGTAGGAAGGGTGTAAAGAGGCCATTGTTTACCTATTTCTCAAAGGGAAATGGAAATATGCAGGGTAGGGGTAAATTGCAGTGCCATAGCAAGGCTTGTAGACTACAGAATTTTCTGAGATTTGAAAATATTTTTGGCCTTGGATGGATCTAGCTCTGTGCCAAATTTCAGGTGAGTTGAGGCGGTGAATTTTTTTTAATGATTTTTTATGTTATAAAGGAATGTATAGCAAAATAATTGGTAGTCCGTGTCCTAACAATGTCATTTTCCCCCAGAAATGTAGACTTTTCTCGACTCCCCCGCAAAAGAGCGCTAGTAAGTTAGATAACTGCGAGTACTCATTGGTAGTCGCGATATTACGTATTAAATGACTTCCACTCTCCTTGACTTCTAAACTTCATTCTTCTCTCTTCGAATTCTCCCACGTTTTCCCAGGACATGGCCATACCAAATATCCTATTCCCCAGTTTCTCACCCAAATAATCCTAATACTCACTTTCATCTCTTAAAACTCGATCAAGCACAATAAACAAACAACAGCAGTAATGACAAAAAAGCAAATTATAAATCCTTGTTTGCTTACTTTCTTTCTCTATAAGTAGCTAAGTAAGCACCTGCAACCTTATTAGACCTAATTCTCTTATTTATATTAATTAATTAATTTTGGCGATTGCTCTGTGACAATAAAGCAGGCATGGAACATGCTTCTAGTGTGTTTAATTGTACCAGTCAAATTTTTAGACGCTGCAATTAAATCAAAGGAATGATCAGATTAATGTTTTTGGAGCAAGTTAACATTTTTGGTGCAGTTTTTAGCATGTTTAGTGTAGGTCTTATTTCCAAGTAACTATTAACGCTAAGTTGACCAAACTTGCATGGATGATACATCTACATCTAAGGATGCACACTACCAGGCTTGCTTTGGATGCTGAATCTGACCTAAATTTTCCGGATAATTGATCAGGTAAAAATTTTTGGTGCAGGTTCCATTTCCAAGTTATTAAATGACCAAACTTCAATTTGAGGTAATACATCTAAGGATGCATACTACCCAACTTGCTTTGTATGTTGAATCTGACCTACATTTTAATAATAATAAATAAAACTAGAAACTCTTGTTGCTACAGCAACAAATAAGGTCTTCCGTTCTTCTCTATTTATCTGTAAGAAGGATATTTTTCCATATCAAAAAGACAAATAAAAAATAGGCAAAATGCAAAAAAAAAAAATTTCTCCAGCTTGGCTCGATCCCAAAACCATTAGTATGTAGGTCGGGCACGCTAACCACTGAGCCATCGAGTTCCACAACATTACACGTATTTTGTAAACTTATTATTTTAAGGTTGAAGGAAATAGTTTCCTATTGAAAGAA